TTAGCGTTGTGGACGACTCCTCCTCGACGTATTTTTTCACCGTCCGCGCTTTCTTACCCGCCCGCATGTACCCACCCCCAGTTTTCTTCTACCGTCCGATCGTCGCCTCCTGCCGGCCTGCGCCCCTACGTTTTTTTCTCCCATCCGATCGTCGCCTCCTGCCGGCCTGCGCCCCTACGCGCGTACAAGTAATAACCGCCCGCCCTAGGCACCCGAGACTCTCCTGCCGATCCCATCTCATAGAGGAGTTGGCGACGGCGATGACGGAAGCCTTGGCGAGTACACGGCAGCGGCACCACGACGACGACAGCGGTGGCCTTCCCCACCGTGACGGCCACCCCGACCTTCGGTGGTGGATCCATGGAGCACGAGGCGAGATCCACTCGAATCATCAAACCTGATTTACCCCAGTCCTCTCTCCTCCCCATCTACATCTCGCACAGCCCTAGTGGCGGGGCGACTCTCTTTGCAGGAACGGTGCCCGCGACAGCGGCGCCAATTGCCATGTACCCTCGTGCCATCTCGGCACTCTCGTGGCCACAACACAATACAATTCTGTTGGCATTGGGATTTGGAAGGATCCTCTAGGACATTCCAGATTCCAGTGGTTTTACTCTCCTCATTTGATTGGGAACGTCACTGGACATGGGACTAGATGCTTACTTTCAAGGAACACATTAATATATATGTGTTACTTTTGGCCTTCTTGAATGAATGAATTCTACAAATTGGTGGCGATGCAGATTGCAGTCTGTCCTACTGGCACAGGTTAGTTATCTAACAGTAAGCTGCACTGATATTAAAAAGTTAAAGTGTAGAGAAAATGTCACTTACTGTGCTGATAATACTCCTGCCTATGCCCTGCAGGCTGCAGTTCATTTTTTTGTTATTACTGGTCGGCTGCCTCGTTGTGTGGGCATCAACTAAGTTTCTGTTCTTATTCAGTTATCCAAGAGTGCACGTGATTTCTCACTCTTTCCAAATCTATTGTTTCACAGAAAACATAGAGGCCAAAAGCATACTATGGCGTCCTTCGTTTTGCTATTTGCTTTGTATTGTTGGTAGGATCAGGCTCCGAAGTTGGAGATTACTGCTAGAAGAACAAACTCTCTGATTGCAGAAATCCGACAGTTTCTAAGCGGAGGTGACAGCCATTCCAGTTATAGAGTGGACAAGCAGGTCTGTTGCTGTAGATTTGGTAGATGTGCCAATGTTGCTGTGGACTTGGTAATCTCCACTTCCTGTAGTGCTGAAACTATGCAATCTCCACTTCCCGTCATCTCCACTTTAGAAACTAATTAGGCTTAAAAATCCCGTCTCGCAAATTAGTCGTAATCTATACAATTAGTTATTTTTTAGTCTATATTTAATACTCTATACATATGTCCAAACATCCGATGCGATAGGAAGTAAACTTTAAAGAAAGAAACTAAACAAGACCTTACATTCTTCTATTGTTCAGTAGACTGAATCTTGCAGTGTGTCACATTTCGGGGTGTTTGGTTCTTTAGTCGCTCTTAAAATTTATGTCACATCAAATGTTTAGAGGCTAATAAGGAGCATTAAATATAAATTAATTACAACACCAATTACATAGGCGGAGGCTAATTTTGAGAGACGATTTTAAGCCTAATTAATCTATCATTAGCACACATTTCTTGTATCACCACGTTGTCAAATCATGAACTAATTAGGCTTAAAAGATTCGCCTCGCAAATTAGTCGCAAGTTGTGCAATTAGTTTCGTAATTAGTCTATATTTAATACTCCATACATGTGTCTAAACATTCGATGTGACAGGAATTTTAGAGGAGGAGAAGAAACCAAACAAGTCCTTCTGTCAGTTTCATGTGGTGCTAGAGCACTAGGGACTTTAATACCATGCAGGATTGAGTCTTTAATGCACAGATTTGACTTCTTATGCTCCTTTGAATATTAGAATCATTAATCTTTATATATATATATATATATATATATATATATATATATATATATATATATATATATATATATATATATATAACTACTACTTTATGGCTGACGACAAAATAACGCATTCTGTATCTGAGTCAGATCTCGAGCCCGAGCATCACCCAGCTCCGTCCATTCACCCGCCGCACTAGTAAAGGCATCAGTAAAGACAATAAATACTAGTCCAATAATTAACCTAAAAATTACGCTTATTTCCATCTCTCCAGAGAAAAGTCTAGATTGGTCCTGTTCACATACGTCCGCACCATCGCAGATCGTGGCCCTCGCGGCCTGCCTCCTCTCTTGCCGCTGATCATCATTATCACGACGCTGCCTCCCTCCGCCCGGCCGGGCCGACGGACGGCTATGAGCGCCGTCGGCGACGGACGCTGGGCGGTCTCTTATTTGTGGGAGCGACGAGGCGGGAGGTGGGCGGCGGCACGCGTTCGTTCGCGGCGGCGGCTGGCAGCGGTGGCAACCGACCAACCGGTACACCAAGCTCCGCCTCAAGCACGAGGAGCGAGGAGGTGCGGTGGTTGCCGTTGAGCACGAACTGCTATCCCCTGCCGGCGACACTTAACCGGCCGCGCACCCTCGATCCGTGCGAACGACGCGCTTCGGCAGTCGCCGCACGACGCGCTCCGGCGGTGGCGGCGCATCCTCGATCCGCGTGCACGACGCGCTCCGGCGGTGGCACCGCACCCTCGACTCGCCGCGCATGTCACACCCTGGTGGTGGCGGTTGCAGCACACCCTCAACTCACGCGCATGGCACGCCCTGGTGATGGCGCGGCACGTCCAGTGGAGATGGCGGGCCCCGGTGGTGTGGCCGGGAGGCGAGTGCGATGGCGTGCGCCAGGCACACCTCAGGATGTCGCCTGCAGTTCTGCACATCCAGCAGCAACCGATAGTGTACAACCTAGTGCGGCGGTGGGTCCTCATCGGCGGCAGGTCTCGGCAGGGTGTACCCAACAGCCAGGCCTATCCTTTTGTTCCGGCGGCGCTGCTTCGTTGACAAGCCCGTCCGCACCTTCACCGGTGACTCCCTGATGTCGGGCTCAAGCAGTAGCGCTCTGATGACTGATATAGGCGGCGGGCGGCGGAGGTTCTATCTTCTATGGTGGCAAGATCCTGTGAGACCAGTTTCTTTCTTTCACGTGAAATTGAAGCACGATCCAATCGCTCTCGAGTAGCAATTCTCGTAAATATTATTAGTGCAAATTCTTGTAAATAGTATTAGTATTGTTGTAAACAGAATTTTAAAGTAAATATGCAGTATTATAGTAACTTGTCCATTAAATTATGGTAAATCTTTTCTTAATGCTAATTTTGTCCGAGACATTCAAATTATTTTAATAAGCTTATGACAAAATTGGTTTAGTCACTGTGCTCAAATTCTCGTAAACACTGAACAATTACATTAGTTCAACTTGTATACTACTCTTCAGTTAGCCCATAGCATGCATGTAGAGTATTTTCGTAACCCATTCCTATTTACTAGAATATATTCTTTACTATTTTTCGTGGACAATAGTATTCTCGTAACCTTACTATTTTAAGGTATGTTGTATTCTCGTAACAAGAATATTTTGCATACGGTATTCTGGTAACTACCTAAATATCTTATCTATTTACCATAGTCCATATACAATAGTTTATTGCACGGTGCATGCATACGCTAATTCACTTGTATGCTCTCGGTATGGTAATTCATGTATTCTCGTAATAACCACTCATTCCACTATATTTCTTGCATGCATGCACACGGCAGCTCGCCAGATCCAAAATCACGCCGGGCATCTACCCAGCAGTAACTCCCGATCCGGTAAATGCTCGCGCGCTTGCGCCGGTTGGCACGGATGGATCTGTCTGGTGCGGTAACTTGGTCCGGCTACAAAATAAGCAATTACGTATATACCTAGCTACATAATAGCTTCTCCCTATATATATACCATAACGTAAATTGGTGCGGTAACTTGGTCCGGTTGGCACGGATATTTACCATAACGTCACAGTAAAATCACTTAGTAAGGAGTTACTATAATCTCGTAAATTAACATAGTAATTATCGTAGCTCAAAGTGGTTATAGAATAAGTTATTTTGTAGTCAGCTATAGAATAGTAGTTATATTTATATAGAACTGCTGTTCTGCAGCTGGCCATAGAATAACTTATTCTGTGGCCACTTTGAGTTACGATAATTACCATGCTAATTTACGAGATTACAGTAACTCATTACTAAGTGATTTACTATAACGTTATGGTAAATAGTAACATAACTATCGTAAATATGTATTCACTTTATGATAAATTAGTATATAAAATTATCGTAAATGGAGGTGGCTACAGAATAACTTATTCTATGACCAACTACAGAAAAGCCTATATATATAACGAGGAAGAGCGAAGATGGACTAGAAATGATAATACCAGCACAATAATCGTGCAAAAAAAAGGTGCTAAGGTTGAAGCTTCCAAAATGGAGACAGCATGTGTATATTAATTTAAATTCTTGAAAACATATTACAAACTTTTTGTCTTAGTTTTTCATAAATAATCTAAGACTATATAAATTGATAAGAGTCTCTTCCACTAACAAAACGAAACATGAATCGTCAACACACGCCTGGTTTAGTTCCCAAAAATTTTCACCCCAAACTATCACATCGAATCTTGCGGCACATGCATAGAGTATTAAATATAGACGAAAAAAAACTAATTGCACAGCTTAGTTGGAAATCGCGAGACGAATGTTTTAAGACTAATTAGTCCATGATTAGCCATAAGTGCTACAGTAACTAACATGCGCTAATAATGGATTAATTAGACTTAATAAATTCGTCTCGTAGTTTTTCAGACATTAGTTTTTTTTATTAGTATAAAAAAAAACTCTTCCAACGTTCCAAAACAACATCCAAACATCCTCGTTTCGCGAACTAAACACAGGCCACGTAACCCCTTCGCCCCGCCCGCCTCCCCTTCTGCCCGCAGGCCCGCACCGGGTTGTCCCTCGACTCGATCCGCACCAACGATGACTCCCCAATCACCATGCGTTCCGCCCCACCCCACGCCCCCTGCTCACCGCATCCCGCTCCGCAGTCCACAACCCTGCCCCGCCCCCTGCTCGCCGCAGCAGCTCCCCGTTCGGCCGCTCCCTCTCCTAGCTGCTCGCTCCCCCTCACAGGTCCCAGCGCGTGGCCGGTCGGCAGGCAGCCAGCAGCCGCGGCCCGCGGGAGAGCAGAGACGGCCGGTCCCGGTCGGCAGCAGGCAGCAGCAGCCGCGGCTCAGCACCTGGCCGGCTGCGCCTGGCGGCCAGAGCGCGGTGCTCCTGTGGGCTGCGTGCCTGCGCTGTGCGGTCCGCCCTACCTGAAATGTGAGTTGCTATCGACCTTGGCTGCTTCTGATTTGATTTATGAGTTCAAACAAGTGCTGCACTAGAACAGTATTCACGTTAAGTCAGAATTAGTAAGTCTAAAAATTCCCTATACAATAGTTGTCGGGCCAGAACCTAGACTCATGTTCGTATTGATTTCTTGTTATTTTATTTAAGATGGCAAGCAACTGAAGTTTAAGGTGGCATGTGTTTTCTACCTTGTGCTTTCTGATGCTGGCATGCGTTATCTACTTTATGCACATCTAGAATGCTGGAACTGGTGTTCATGTGATTCACCCACGAAGCCACACTGCGGCCGGAGGTGAAGTGCACAGCCGCACTTGGTGGCCCCCACCTCACCCTTGCCAATACGCTCGCCGCTGGTTTCTGACCTATTGTCGAGCTCCCCTGTGGCTGTGATTTGGAATAGGTTAAGGCGCCATCTCCAGCCCAATCGAGCCCACAGGTGAGTTCCTAGCAATGGCGGATCAGGAAATATTTTAGGGGGTGCGAACAACAATCTTTGCTTTCGATCTTAAGTCTCAGCCCCCTCTACACTATAGAACTTTCTTTTAAAAATTCATAGGGGCTCTACAGTAATTTGCACTGTTTTGGAATGGGTAGGGGGCTTGAGCCCCCCGCCCCACTGCTGGATCCGCCCCTGCTCAATAGTGCTGCTTCTTTCGTGTATGCACATGTCATTCTTTTTTGGCTGCCTCATGACTTGCTGACAACTAAAGCATGTGCCTTCTCAGAACTTCTCTGCATGTGTCAAAATCCAACAAAAACAACGGAATGAATATATGATCACTCAATCAGATAGTGCTAATACGTCTGCTTAATCAGCTTGTTCACAATGCGTGAAACTATTAATCTGTGTTTCACTTAGTTTCTGTTCATATCGTTTTTTGTTCTACTACTCATCATTGGATAAACTTCATCTTGAGTCCTATTTACTTGCATCTTTAGTCCTATAACTTATCTTGAAGATTTTTCCCACAGCATGCCCTGAACAAGCTGTTGGAGAACTTGGCTATCATGCTCTTGTTTTGGCACTATTACTAATAAAATACTAAAATTGATGCTTATTTGTTTGGCGACGGCTCAGAATACAATGTTTGTAAGCGGAGTTAAAATGTATTTGTCTGTTGATTTCGACCCATTATTTCTTTCATACTTTTATTGTGTTTCAATTCAAAATTCTGAGGCTTTAGACCGACTATTTTGGTGATGCAGAATTGTGGCGCTGCTGATTGTTGACTTTGAGTTTTCCTTTCCAACTTCCATTCAAATACACATGGCCTCTCTGAAATAGCATTTTTGGTGAAATATACATGTGCTCAGTTGGAAAATTACCTAGAAACTATGAAGAGTGAAACTGATGCATTGTGCTTCTTTTGCAGAATTGAAGAGAGAACTTCTCAAGGGCATAAAGTGAGATAACGCACCAACCACTAAGATAAGAGGTGACAAAAATTAGCTTGCTGCATATAGTTTTCAGAAGTCTGGTTATGTCTGCTCATTGTTAATTAGTTTTCAGAAGTCTTCAATCTTGTTCTCCCTGCCACCCATGGTTGAAAAATTGATTTCTGTCAAGTGTTCTCAGAATTTGCACAGGTCTCGGTTTGTGAGTAGCTGCGAGGTACACGTGTGATGGTTATTTACTCATGATTATTGCCTTCAATTTTTGCAGGTGGAGAAAGATAGAACTGGAAGACATGAGGTACAATGCTGACATGAGGTACTTATCCTCAATTTATCTGTGCTTACCAGAGGTTGGAGAACAGTGAATGAGTTAGAGTAGTTGGGCTTACTCATGATACAATAATCCTACTGCAAAGAATGTTTAACTGATTACCGATGTTGCCTATGAACATCAGGGCGCCATTGCTTGCTGTTAAATTGGTAATTTATCATCATAATGGACTAATGGTTTCCTAATTGCTCACTTGTTCCATTTACTTCTGCAGCTTATAATTGTAGGTTGACATTACTCTGGAGGTTGGCATTCAACTGCGCTAACTAAAGAGGGAGAGGTATTTCCAATATATTCAATTAAGGCTTCCTATCTTATAGTATATATTGCTTTGTTCTGTCAAGCCACCAGATGACACAAACTGGGCTAACAGAATTCTTTTTCACACCTCCAATCCTTCAGCTGCCTTAAATCGACATTCTTATCAGGCGACCCAAGGAGCAGAACAGGTGTTAACGACATTCTTATCAGCGGTCTATGGAACAGGTGTGAACATGTAACTTTGATTGTGGATTTTGAAGTCAATTACAACCTCTATTGTTGCAGTCACCATTGTTGCCAGCAAGGCTTTGAGGCATGAGGTTTTTGTCTTTAGAAGTTGCACATTATCTTTGTATCAGATAGAAAAACTATACAAGATTATGTATGCTCTGAATTAAATGGTAGCACCGTTCAAGTAGCTATCTGGGTAAATTGGTTTGGTCAGTGTTAGATGATAAATGATATTTTTGAGGAGGGCATATGTTTTCCCATAAATTAAATACTTTAGGCACATTTGTTCGTTGCTTCTTTACAATTAACAGTGATTAGTAGTATTGTCACTGCATGTGTCAAGCCATTTTCTTTTCCCCTTTGGTGAAGTGATTGATAAATTTCTGAGCCGTTGAAATATTTTTTTTCTTAATAGGATCTTTACTGAATGCAGTCAGCAGCGAGGTCCAAGGAGAGGACGATCAAGTACACCAGTGAGTTGGAGAAGAAGGTAAAAAGCTACAAACAGAGGCCACCACACTTTCGGCACATTTCACGCTTCCTTCAGGTAAGAAATGCATTAGCACATGCAATAGAGTATTAATCAGTCAGATGAATCACATAGACTTCAATATTGTATTTTGCAACATCATTTGGCCCATTATGTGTGCTGATAAGATCAAGCATCTATTTGAGCTAATTTTGCAAAGCTATCTAAACAAGAGACCCAAATGGTAGTTATTGATGTGTGCTGTAACAAAATTTGTCAATTTCTTTAGTGTTTTTTTATCCGAATGAGACTAACCTCATTCCATATTTCAGAGATGTCTATGCGTAAGGCTTTTTGTCTAAAATACTTTTTTATCACACATACGATGTGGCATTTTTTGGTGTGGTGTAGCATGGCTATGAACCAATGATACCTTTACTTTGAGTACAAATGTCCCATGCGAATAAAAGATAAGCTGAAATGTATCGTATGACTGTGTCTTTAGCCTAGGATCAATAGCTAGCTACCTAATAAGTTATTTCTCTATAAAATACTCAATTTCTCCTTACAGGAATCTTTTCTAAATTATTTCTCTATAAAATACTCAATTTCTCCTTACAGGTCCTTTCATATTTGGGTTAATGAAAATATGATCTACAGGATGCTCAGACCTGAAGTTTTAGCTTTATGACATATCTTACCATGGTAGACAAGCAAGCTTCCTAAATAGTTAATTGTTTGGTTACAGTATCTGAACTGAGCTTTCTTCTAAGGATCCATTACATTGATATCTCCATAAAAATATTTGTTGAGAAGTTTGATTATGAATCTTTTTGGTTTTTTGACAACCGTTTTTGTGGTCATGTGTTCAGATCCTCTTATTCACTTCTCTGCACTCAAATTCAGTAACAACAGAGTGAACCATGCACTCACTATATGGTAGAGTTCTAAGAGCATCTTCAAGAGTCTTTCTAAATTTCATCTCTAAATCATCAATTGGAGAGCCATTTGCATAACAACCGCTTTCTATATCTTTCTACTCTTCAGCGGTTATTCTATATCTTGTGTGCACTCTAGAGAGCCATTCTCATTGTCTATCTTTAGCTAGCGAGAAATCCAGAATAGAAGATGGCTAAATTTGGATAACCAAATAAAAAAGCTGTTGGAGGGTATTTTTTTTAATCAAAATCTCTATTCCTAACAATTAGGAAGGACATAGAGTCTCTTGGAGTTGCTCTAAGCACCCTGCCCTTGCTACAAATTGCACTTGACTATGTGTTTCCAGTGACCTTCAGGCCATTACTACTGCAAAATGCTTCTTGTACCAGCTTGCTGGTGGGGATTTCATGAATTTCCTGCAGATGTGCTACCTGACCTCATGCACCCTTGTTTGGATTTGTTGACAAAGCCTTTTAGCTCTATTGTAGCCTTCCAGGTACTTAATTTCAATGACATGGCAAGATATTTCTCATCCAGTTCTTACCATTTTTCTCCTCTTGAGCAACTTTGAACTCACAAAAGACACTACCAGGCACTTGCCCTTGATCTTTTATCTCAAACAGTGAGCATCCATTTCATTAAGATATGCTGTGATACACTCTTTGCATATGTTGTGTGATTCTTTTAAGTCACCATCTCCTGATAAACGTTTGTATCTTGCTTCAGAAAATTGAGTTTCTTTATTTGCATCATACGTACATATTCAGTTTACTCCACTGCTATCTGCACTTTCTCATGACATTTTTGTCTATTATGTATGTGTTGTTTAGGTTTCCTGAGGAAAACATCCAGGCAACTGAAAGATCAGGTCATTTCTCCAGGAAGGACTACCATAGCCGAGGTTCAGGAGCTCGAGAAGGGTGTGTTTTGTGCAACGCTGATTAGGGCTGTTGTTGCTGCTTGCAGAGCGGTGCCATGAACTATCATAGAGTTTGATTGATGTTCATTTTGGCAGATTTCAACAAGGCTGTGTTTTGTTGATATATCCATGCCTTGGACTGCAAAGTAGCGAACTGCTATATAGTTTGACTAATGTTTCATTTCCACTTATACCTATGATGCAAATTAATAGATCATGTGTCGCTTTAACTTCGTTATTGGTGCCAGAAAACCCTTCTTTTGGGAGCAAATTGGATTAATTAGTTTTGTCACCCATTTTATTACCGTGTAGCAACGCACGGGCATCGCTAATATTGTATTAAGCTATATGTGATTGTCCTGTATTTTGGTGGACTATATACCTTACCACTCCACTTTGTTTTTTTCCGAGTTTTTTATAGAAGATATATGGCTGAAATAAATGCTTAATGATTATGGTTGGTTCATATGTCATTTTCTGTTACAATCCATATATATAGAACTAATGTGCGTGTATATTAAAAAAAGTTCTTAATTTCCTTATCATACTACTTGGAATATATTTATTAGAATCTACCATCTCTCATAATATTAATTAATTTTATTTCTTACTGATTTATATATAAATTCTCTAATCATCACTATAAGCACGTGCGTGCCGCACGCGCCTATTCACTAGTAACCACAAATGAGAGCAAGTATTTCTTGATGCAATTCCAAATGATATCATTGTTCTTTTTCAGAATATGGATGATCATACTCGCAGGGTGAAATTATAAGAGGTAACTACTATTGTAAATAGTTTCTTTTGTTGCATTATGTTATCGTTACATGTATGAATGTATGAATGCTTACTATTTGCAGAATATTATTCTTTTTATGCACGGTGTTAAATTATTGTCAACTGTAGTTATGGCTAAGTCTAGACCGACCCCGGCGATGATTTTTCCTAGATTCACCCCTGTTCGTCCATAACCACAAATGAGGGCAGGATTGCTTGGTTACAGTGGTGGTGCAAGAAGAAGAACGTAGATTAGAAGTGGTGCAAGATAATGAAGTATATCATGAAAGAAACATCCCTTCTTGGTGTGCTGCAGAAGCACAATGCACTGCAGTGCAAAACCAACCATTTCACAAGTTACTCCCTCCATCCCAAATTGTAAGTCATTCCAAGAATCTTGGAGAGTCAAACTTTTTCAAGTTTGACTAAAATTATAGAGAGAAACACAAAGATTAATGACATCAAATATGTATAATATGAAAATATAACTAATGAAGAATCTAATGATACTTACTTGGTATGATAAATATTATTATTTTGTTATATAAATTTGATCAAACTTGAAAAACTTTGACTTTCCAAAATTTTTGGAATGACTTTCAATTTGGGATGGAGGGAGTACATGACATGGGCTGAACCAGCAAAGGACTCAATAATTTTTTAAACAAAAATCCAAGTTGGTTGCGTACACTTATTTGCAAGTAAATCAGATCAAAATACAAATCCTCCAGGACCAAGTGTATCGTCAGGGTCAGTCAGAGCACAACAAGACAATGGGTATAGGAAACGTGATAAGTGATTGCAGAATTGCATAACTGCATCACTGAGTCATAACTAAACATGGGCAAAGCTTAGTATGACAAAGAAGAGAGAAATGACTATATGGCATCATTGTGGATTCAACTCTCAAGGAGTAACATTTCAACATTATACCACTCTTCTGCTAACTTTATTTTAGAAATTATCATGAAATCTTCCCACTTCTCTAAACCCCTTTCGCCACCACATTCACTTGCTCCCACTGTTACCTAATCAACTAAGAAACAGATAAAAAATCAGGGAGTCTGTTTGTGAATTGACGAATCCCCAAACCAAACCAATTCACAGTACCTGATGAGTGGGATGAACCAGTTGCAGCTCGCTGTTGCCTACAGAGTCCACCACTCCAGCGAGCGTCGGAGTGCTCAAGGTTGCTGCTAGATGACTGAGATCCGCGAGCCACCCTAGCTGGACGCCGCCTCCTCTTCGATCTCTGCTCCCACAACCCACATGATGGGGAGCTCGCAGATCCGGTGGAAGCAGGAACGCTCCAACATGATGGCCGGGGAGCTAGTAGATCCGGTGAAAGCGACGAAGCTGTTGGTCTTCATGTGCCTGGACTGTCCTAGCCCATGGGGCCACTACATTAGATCCGGAGGTGGAGGAGCTCAACTCGCCGAATTACGCACACATGCCGACGCGGGGAGTCCGCCGACCACCAAAACCAATGTCGCGCAACTTCCCCCGACCCCGCCTGGCTGCCGTGTCTTTAGAATGCCGCGGAGCTCGTGCGGCTGCCTGGGCACCAGCGATGGCGGCGAGCAGGGAGAAGACAGAGAGAAAGGACAGAGGAGAATGAGGAGGGGGTTATGTGTCTGGGCTTCGGTCCGGGTGGAGGGGTTGTCTGCAAAAATGAAGGAACTCTCGAATTTTCTCTTCTTCTGTCAAAATAAAATTTATATCAGGGGGTCATTTATGTAAAACATTTCTAGACATGGACACTGTTCATGGACGATGGGCTGCGGGTTAGTTTCTAGAAGGAGAGCTTTTCTGAAAAATAAACAGCATCAGATATCAGCATGTGGATGAAACACAGAGTCCTGAATGCTCTAGTGCGAGCGGAACCGAGTGAGTTTTAAACAACCCTGATAAGGAATATACCTATTGGATGCTCGAGCCGATTCCTTAGAATCAAGTGGACAGGGTCGACCCACTTTTCCTCATCGCTCGATCTTCCTTTCGTTTTTTCTTTCTCGTGCGACCAGAGAGGCACCGCCACCTGGGGCTTCTGGATCTCGTCGCCGTCGGCTTCTCGTTGAGTGCTAGGCCACCACCGCCGGCCCCTCGTCGAGCGCCAGGAGGCACTGCCGCTAGGGGATGCGCGGCTTGCCGTCCATGGCCCCTCTTCATCCGCAAGGGCCCCTATGTGTTGTTCACATGCAAAAGGTTCGGTGCGCGTAGGAGCTCCAGTGCGCCGAGGTGCGGTGCGGTGGAGCTCCGACGGATGGAGCTCTGGGGTGGGTGGAGCTCCGACGAGCAGTTTTGTCACTGCGGAGAAGAATGACAGGTGAGCCCTAGTTGTAAGGTATCTTATATTATCCCACTTTTAAACCAAATAAGAAACTGGGATGAACCCAACCCATACAACCAAATAAGAAACGGGTTCACTCCATTCAAAAAGTCAGGGATGGATCTAACCCATTCCAGTAAGTCCCAGGATGAGCTCGAGTTATAGGAAGTTGAACTCCCGAGGCTTTTGGCACATAACCGTGCGTCCGTGCTCTGGTTGGGGAGCTTGTAGTGTGAAGCAGGAGAATACAAGCAGGCTCGTGGTGAGATTGACAAGCTCATTTACCACTAGGAAAGAACTATCTGCAGAGTCTGCATCTCTCATGGAAGAGACGAGCAGGGAACAATCCATGGGCTTGTTTGGAATGCAGGAATTTCGCAAGAATTTTACAGGAATCCGTTCAATTTTACAGGAAAAACGCAGGAATCGGAAAATTTTCCCCTGTTCCAAACAGCAGCTACCGGTGCATACAAGTTACGAAAGTTTGGTGGTTTACAAACTGGACCATGTCCCCTTTTGGCATTGCAGATTTGTGGTGTCTTTCGCAGTTTTTTTAATACCTGTGTTGGAATTGTAGATTTGCAGTGGCTTTGAAAACGAAGCACAAATTTGCCCAAAACATGCCCAACTAAGCCTGTGTAGTCCTCGATTTGGTGATGAGAATGTATTCTATTCTTATCTATAAAATATACCTGTTACTACGACATGGTTATCTACCATATTATTTATTATTTTTTTATTCCTTATTTTCGTATACCGCTTTTCCATCCTCGTGCGGCCACGTCGACGCTTAATGCAGCCCGTCTGATTTACGCTAGGCCTGTTGCCCTGTTCACGCCTCATACATGACAATCTCATGCTTCGTACAAGACAATTTCATGCTTGTGCAACAAACTGCCCAGTATCTTCATCAGCAAAAACAATCCCAAATTCTACTCAAATTGGACATCACAAAGGCTTTTGACTCGGTGTCGTGGCCTTTTCTTTTTGAGGTCATGAGACACTTGGGCTTCGGTCCTATTTGGTGTGATATCATTATTGGGTTATTATCTTCAGCTTCCACTCAGGTACTCCTCAATGGCAGTCCCGAGGAAGCAATTTCACATCGACGAGGACTTAGACAGTCTCCGATGCTTTCATCCTGGTCGTGGATGTTCTCAGCTATATGGTTAAAAAGGCATCTGAGATGCAGCCACTAGCTAGTACGGCCTTGCAGCACCACATCTCTTTATACGCTAGCGTGTTCGGCTGCTCATGTTTCAGATTGTTTTAGCTTATTCTCTCTCACAGAACACTATTGAATCATTGAAAATCATCCGAAATCTACTGTGCAACCTAACAGCCGAACACGCGGGCCTCAGGGCTGAGAACAAATATGCAAAAAAGCAACGTTTTTCCCATACAGTGCTCAGAGGAAGATAAGGCCTTTTTACAGGACCATCTCCCCTGCCAACTTTTGGACTTTCCTTGCAAATACCTGGGGGTTCCCCTCTCACTGCGCAAATTCAACAAGCAGCAACTCCAGCCAATCATAGACCGAATTGCAGATATGCTTCCTGGTTGGAAAGCTGAGCTGCTCACAAGGGCTAGCAGAAAAGTGGTGGTTCAGTTTGTGCTCACATCCATGCTGGTGTATTTAGCCATGGCGATGGATCTTCCTCCCTGGGCCCTTAAAGCCATTGACAAAATCCAACGAGGCTTTCTTTGGAGAGGCCGGAAGGATGTGAAGGGGGGACACTGCCTGGTGGCTTGACCTAAGGTCACCAGGCCAACAGAACTTGGTGGTCTTGGTATCTCCAACCTGCAGCAATTGGTCTGGCCCTCAGGATGCGATGGCTATGGCTACAGAAGAGAGAACCTGATCCACCGTTGGCAACCTTTCAAATACAGGTTCGCTCCTCAGCAAAAGGCTTTCTTCTCATTGGCCATAATTTCAGAGGTTGGCAATGGC